ACGTCATCCTTAACAGAAGGGGTGATTTGCGGATTTCATGTAGTAGAAGGGCTGATTTGCCAGTGTTTCTTGTACAGGGGCTGAATTGCCACAACATTGCAGGTACAGGGGCTGAATTGCACCTTCTGCCAGCTAGAATTGGTTGACTTTAGATTAACCTTGGGACTTCCGCTAGGGCTGTTCATAACTTCATTTAGCAAATCGATTGATCCGATTACGCTGAACCAAACCAATTATAGTTTTGTTTGTGAATGCTTTATAAAATATTTTTTTCTTATAGCAATGCATCTAAAAATATAAAATTATTATAAATAGTTAAATTTAATTAATATTTTATATATTTTTAATAAATTTAATTAAATATTTCATATATTTTTTTAATAGGAAAAAAAAAAAAACATAGATTCACAAAACAATTAAGCACAATACACCACAACCAAAGGAGCCTAAAAACAACCCAAATTAAATTGAATTAGTTTGGCTTATAAAAATTACAAAATTAATATAATTAATTTAGTTTGTGGTTTTATTCCTAAAACAACCTAGGCTAATTGATTTTAGGATAACCTATAAATATAAAATAATATTTTTACTTTTAGTATAATAATTTTATTTATGTTTTAAAGTAAAGAAAAATAAGTAGAAAAAGAAGTATGAAATAGAGAAATACAAAGGGAGACAAAGAGATCATGAAGAGTTGAATTATCTTCCATGCCATCTTGATACAAGTTACAAGCCATATATAGACTAGTGGGTGGTAGGAGTTATAGATTAATCATCCATTAAGTAAGACGTTATACAGGATTTAATCATCCACACCACTAAGTTGGGAGTTACATGGTAAAATGATGCAACGGAAGAGTGAAAATGTGAAATGAAAAAAATAAGGTGATAGAATGGGATAATAGGCCACCACTCTAAGGATACAAAAGCACCACCTTAGAGATACAGGTCTGTGTCAACTCACTACTCAATGGAATCCACCAAAGAGATAGAGAGTAGAAAAGATAATTTTCAAAGACACTAATGCTCTGGAAATGGCTTAACACTTCAATTGCTTCCTTCTCCAGATATAAAGACTGAAAAACATCAATGGGCAACTTGGAACATCCTTCCAAGTATAGGAACTTACAAAATATTAATGAAATAGTTGGAAATATTTGAAAATGCTTGAAAATTTGTCCAAAACTTTAAAAACCACATAGGGAATGTAGACATATACAACTAAACTTAATCTGATAGTCTGTAATCAAAGTGCCATTACTTCTTCTAGAAGGCTCGAATTGCAATGGGACCTTATGCATATGAAACTAGACATCTTGAACTTTAATTCCACATGTACCTTTATGCTTTTTTTTTTTGGATTGTGAACAACCTCAATCTAAGCTAAAAATTGGACCCAAAATCAAGTCTTTCACAATTGGGCTTAAAGAAATAAATCATACTCTAGATCCTCCAAGTTTCAGATGGCCCATGGACATTCCCATGTCATGCTCCTTCGATTGAAAAGGACTCACCCTTGAGTCAATTGGGCCTTCTTCAGCTTCATAAGGAAACAAATCAGAAATAGTTAAAGTATCAAAAACTTCATATTTAGCTGGAAGTTCAATCTTATATGCATTATCCCCTATCTTCCTCAACACTTTAAATGGACCATCAACCTTAGGTTTCATCTTAGCATACTTGCCTCTTGAAAACCTTTCTTTTCTGAGATGCACCCAAACAAGATCACCTTCCTTGAATTCAGTAAATTTTCTATGCTTATTTGCTTGAATCTTATACTTCTCATTCTGCTTCATAATCTTCACTTGAATTTGCTCATGCAACTTCTTGATCTCCTTTACTCTGTCTTTTTTGCATCACCACTAAATCTTTCAATTGTTGGAATGGTAATTAAATCCATAGGATTGATTGGATTTTCCCCATAAACAACTTCAAAAGGCCTATAACTAGTAGTTTGACTTCTAGATTGATTATAAGCAAATTCCACTTGTGGCAATAACAAATCCCACTAACATATGTTCCTCCCAATAAAGCTTCACAGAAGATTTCCCAACACCCTATTCACAACTTCTTTTTAGCCATCAGTTTGTGGATGGCTAGTTGAGCTAAATTGTAACTTAGTACCAAGCTTCCTCCACAAAGTGAGCCAAAAGTGACCCAAAAACTTTGAATCTTGATTAGATGTGATTGTTTTGGGAATTCTATGAAGTTTTACAACCTCACGAAAGTATAAATCAGCTACATGAGATGTATCGAGAGTTTTGTTGCAAGGAACAAAATGTGCCATCTTTGAGAATTTGTCAACAACTACCATGACAAAATCCTTGTTCCTTTGAGTTTTTGGCAAACCCAAAACAAAATCCATGCTAACATGCTCCCAAGGACCATTTGCCACTAGAAGAGGAGTGTACAAACTTGTATTTTGCCTATGTGTCTTTGCAACGTGATAGGTTTTGCAACGCTTGACATGCCTTATAAAATCACATTCCATCTTTGGCCAAAAGCAATTTTGTTTTAGAAGTGCCAAATGGCCTTGCAAGTCCACCATTGTGAGCTTCGAATAAAATAGTCTCTCTTAATGGACATTCTGGGAGACATAACTGATTTCCTTTGAACAAAAAATCATCCTGCAAAAAGAATTACTAAAAAGGACCATTAGAACAATCAGTCCAAATCTTGCCAAAATATGGGTCCTCCTTGTAAAGCTCTTTCAAAACCTCGAATTCTACCACTTGGACATGCATTGAGGACAACAAATGATATCTTCTACTCAAAGCATCAGCAACAACGTTTTGAACTCCAAATTTGTGCTTTAGAACAAAATTGTAAACCTGCAGAAATTCCACTTAAGAAACATGCCTACTATTGAGTTTCAGCTGCCTATAAAGAAATTTCAAAGCCTCATGATCAGAAAATAGAACAAATGGTTTAGGAAGTAAATACTGACTCTAATGCCTTAAAGCTTGCACAACAGCATAAAACTCTTTATCATAAGTAGAGTATTTCCTGCGAGACTCATTAAGTTTCTCACTAAAGAAGGTAATTAGTTTTCCTTCTTGGCTAAAAACTGCACCAATTCCCAAGTTAGAAGCATCATATTTAACTTTAAAGACTTTGTGGAAATCTGGGAGAGATAGGATAGGTGCACTTATTACCTTCTATTTAATGAGCTTAAGACTCTTTTCTACATCTGGAATCCATTTGAAACTACCTTCTTTCAAGCCCTTAGTTATTGGTGGAATAATAGTGCTGGAATTCTTGACAAAATGCTTGTAAAATGAAGCAAGGCCATGAAAACTTCGAATATCATGAAGAGTTTTTGGTGTGGGCCAACTAAGAATGGTTTCCATTTTCTTTGGATCCATCTTTACTCCATCACTAGAAACAACATAGCCTAAGAAAACAAGGCTATTAGTGAGAGATTCACACTTTTTTAGATTGCCATAAAGCTTTTGTTCTCTCAAAGTCTGGAACACCTGTTGCAAGTGCTCTAAATGCTACTTTTTTTCCTTAATGTATATAAGAATATCATCAAAATAAACAACAACCAACTTTCCAATAAAAGGTTTGAAGACATGACTCATCAATAGCATAAATGTACTAGGAGCATTGGATAGGGCAAAAGGCATGACCATTCACTCATAAAGACCATTTCTTATCTTAAAAGCTGGTTTCCACTCATCTCCTTCCCTCATTTTGATATGATGATAGCCACTTCTAAGATCAATTTTGGAAAACATAGAAGCACCATGGAGTTGATCTAAAAGATCATCAAGTCGAGGAATAGTAAATTTGTAACTTATAGTGATTTTATTGACAACTCTGCTATGTATGCATATCCTCCATGAACCATCCTTCTTTGGCACTATAAGAGCTGGTATAGCACAAAGACTCTTGCTTTCATGCACTAAACCCTTTGATAAGGGTTCATCCACTTGCCTTTGCAACTCCTCATGCTCTGTTGGGCTCATTCTATATGCAAGTTTGTTAGGAATAATAACCCTAAGGACAAAATCAATATAATGTTGAATATTCCTTATTAAAGGAAGGCTTACTAGAATCTCTTTAGGAAAGACATCCTTATACTCATCAAGCAAAGGTTGAATAGAAGGAGGAATAGTAATATCCCCTTTAGATTTATCAAATACATTAGAACCATGAGCTGCATTTAGGCAAGTAATAAACTCTTGGACAGCTAGATGAATTTCTTATTGTTAACACTAAAAAATAGAAAAGGAAGTGTTGAATCAAGAATTGTATTGATTGATAGAGAGAACTTAAAATGGAGAAAAAGTGGAGAAAACAATTTGCTTTCCTAGGTTTATTCTTGAGGTATTTAAAGGACGTTTACATAAAGTTACCCTAGGAATACAACTCTATTTTCATTGGTGTTTGGGAGGTCTATTTTTAATAGAATTGGGTCTATCTTATACTTGGTAGGAGTCTTCCTAAGATATTTCCACATATTCTAATTCTCAAAAGACTCAATTTTAAGTATAACATTTGCCCCCTAACAAAAAAGTTTAAGGATAATGAAAACTTGCTGGTCTCATCTTTACGTAGGTTTTACTATTTGTAGCTTTTCTTCTTATGACCTTATGTTCCACTTGACTCCAAATTCTACATAGCTTTTTTAGATCTTTGCCTTTAAGAGGTTCCATCTTTCTATGGCAAAGATTTTGTAATCGTGGCTGCCTCGTTAACTAGTAAAAACCCTGTGGGATAAAAACTAACTGAAGGATAAAAGAGTACAGCATAGGTTTTTTCTTATGTTCATAACTTTTGGAGTGCTTTCTACTAGTTTTCCATATGCTGCACAACTATCATGGCTCCTTTACTTGTCTTCAATTGCACTATGTGTTTCCTCAAGATTTCTTTGTGTTGTAGTGATTTCCTTTTTGCCAGCTTTTACATGTGTCTAGCCCTCATTTGTGGTTTGTGTCAAGGTGTAACAACATCTATACTTGCAGGACTTCCTAAGATTGCTCCATTTAATGTTGGCTTGAAGGGCTAAATTTAAAATGTAGATTTTTTAGAAAAGGTTGGTATTCTCGAACTTTCTACCCCTTTATTAATTTTTTCCGATCTTTTCACGTTCTTCCTTCTAGCGATTTTCTTCTTTTTCTTTATTAATTTTTTTGATCTTTTCACCTACTTTTTTCTTGCTTTCCTATATTCTCGATTTAGCCCTTTCTTTTCCCTTTCCATCTCTCTGTATTTTCTTTTGGTCTTTTCACCTTCTTCATTTCTGCTTGGTTCTACTTTCTGTTTTACCCTTTCCTTTTTATGTTTGCCCTATTACCTTCATTTCTTATGGCAGGGGGCTTCTTAGATTTTGCCATTGTTGCTTTAGTTGGTCGGGCTATTGTTGCAGTGGAAGTAGATGCTACTGTTGATAATACTTCTGATATTTTTTCTAATGGATCTCCTAATGTCTTCCTTCTACCGCTATCAGATTTTCCTTGGCTCTTTTGTCCACTCAAAGGGATGCTTCTTCCTCTAGTTTCGATATGGTAGATTTATCAAAAGAATCTGATGGATTCGCAAGTTTTTGCTTCAAAGCATCTTATGAGTTGCGTAGCTTTTCTATGCCTTCCACCTGACATGTGTGTTTAGTAGGACCAGTTTGCTTGCTATTTGCATTTTCCTTTGCATCCTTTCATTATTGAGATCTATGATGAGTTCTCCATTAGCCTACCCCAATTAGCTCCTCGGGCTGTTGCGTATATTGTCACTTTTATTGTGAGGTGCTTTTAATGCTCGAGAATTGTTTTACTTCTTTTTTTCTTTTAAAGATCATTGAGCCTACTAGTAGTTGTTACTACTCTTCTCACAGAGTGCTAGAGTTCCAACGTGTTGATGATAAGAAATGTTGTTGGGGTAATATTGTTTTTATGGATCCTTGACCTAGTTTTGATTCTAACGATTGGCATACGAGGTTCTTCTTTCTATTGATGATTATAAAGCTGTTCATCGATTCATCACAGAACCTTCTATGAGCATTGCTGAATTGATTACCTAGAGAAACTTGATTGATTCAGGTTTTTGGGTTCCCAGCTCTTATAGTCTTGATTTTTTGGTTCCTTTGGTTCCTGTTGTTTCCAAGTGTTTACAAAACCTGAGTGTCCTTTGAAAAGGAAGGTTGTTGAAGGAAGCTCCACTATTGTTTTTGAGCCTTTGCTTGCTACTGTAGGTATCTTTATCCCTTTTCTTTATTCTTCATTGGTTTTTTCTTGTCGATTTTTGTCACTTATGTCTTTTGTTTGCATAGGTGGCATGGATACCTTAGTTGCTTTGAGTCGATCTATTAAAGTTAAGAAAGTTTCGAGAAAAACTAAAGGAGTTGCTTCTCGAGAAGCGCCTGTGTCTGTGAAGAGGTCTAAAAGGCTGAAGAGTTCTCCTTCTATTAAGGTTGCTGTTGATAGTAGTTTTTCTAAGGGTAAAGTGGGGAAGAGTGTGATAGATGCTAGCAAGGAAACACCTTCTTTATTGGTTTTTCTTGATGATGAGTTGCAGAGCTTTTCTTCTAAGGAAAAAGCTTTACTTTCATCCATAACGGATTTTATTGATGGAAAAAGTTTTTTTAAGTCCTTGCCTTGGTCGCCTTTGAAGGATGTGGTTCGTCCTAGTTTGTGGCTTCTTTTGTTGATTTTCTTTAATTCCTTTTTTATCTACTTGAACATACTTTCCTTTTCTTTCTTAGGGTATGATGTTTGTGTTGATGGTCCCTCTATTATTGGACATAATTCAGTTGCCTGTGAATTCTCTAAGTCTTTACTTCTTGATGGTGACAAGAAGTTGCTTTCTGACTTTCCTTTGGAGGCTTTACAAAACATGGCTGTTCATAATGCCACTAGCATATGAGTTTCCTTCCTTCGCTATTATTTCTTGATATTAATACCTTTTTGATCTTTTTTGACAGTTTGTTCTGCACCTTATTTCAAGTTTGCGCTATTCTACAATACATGAAGAGTCTTGTCTAGGAGAAGGAAGATTTGTCTTACTTAGATGAGGTTGATCTTACCGAGATGCGGTTAGGGAGTAAGGATTTGATAAACCTATGTCGCAAATTGAATTTTGAAAAGATTAGTGCGGACAAGAGTAGCTTTGGAGTCTAGTTTGGTTGAGGTTGAGAGATTGAAGAAGGAATTGTCTATGCTTCAAGAATGTTATGATTTGCTAAAGAAGGAGAAAGAACTTATCTCTTTTTCAGCTTCTATTGAGAAGGCCTCTCTTATGTTTGCGAATGCCTCTCTCTTGTAATATTTTGGATGAGCAAGTTTTGAGAAATTCTATTTTGGAGAATTATGTTTTTGATTTACAGGTGTAGGTTTTTTCTTTATGGGTTTCCATATCTTCTACTATCTAGGCTTTTAAAGAATCCTTTGAGGGTAGAGCATTTACCTTTTCTAGTGGTCTTGGCTATTTTAATCTTGCCATTAAGTTGATCAAGGTGTTGCGTTTTTGCCAAGGGATGATTGTACCTGAACATCTTGTTGAATTCAAGAATATAGATGTTGCAGCCTTAGTTTGTGTTGATCCTAAGTTGAAGGGGATCTATGACGAGGGTCCGGAATATGTTTCTCTTGGTGCTTTCCCATTTGGAGCAAAGGAGGGCTTTAGTAGTTCTTGGGATTCTGAGGACTCTACTGTTGCCATTCATAGTGGGAACAATTTTGCCAACATGATTAGTGCTTCTCTTTCCCCGGATGATTAAGACTATAAATCCTACAAAAAGAGCATTTAGGGTTTCAAAGTATATATAGGTCATGTTACTTTGTTTTTCCCTATGGGTTTTCTATTTAATGTTTAGGATTGTGCCTTGACATTCATTTAGGCTATGTTAGTTTTTATGCCTTTTGTGCACTTGTTTGGTGAACAGTTTTTTTTCCTTGTTTTTTTTTTTTTTTAAACTTGAGTCTTGGCCATGTCAGCATTATGACCTTTCATCGAAATTGCACCAATTTTGCTTGTCATTTTTATTTTATTGTTTCCATAACTCTTCGTTAGTTTTATTAGTTTTTGTAGTTTCTTATAGTGATGGTGTAATCATTCATCAATGAGGATCCATGGGTTAACAATTGGTTAGTATGTGCCATATCCTCCTTTTTCTTGTATAAAAGATAGGTTGGATATAACTCTACACTCCACTCGGTCATGACGAGTTTATGTTGCAAATTCTCTTATAGGTTTGAGAATTGCATTAACCTTTGTAGCCTCGCTTGTGTAGCTTCTACCAAGGTACTTGTGAATACCCTAACTTGCTTGTGACTTTTTATTTCACTTAAGCATATTCTAGTTAGTTTTCCTAACTTATCCAGATTTGTTTTGAAGAGACTTTATAGCTTTGCTTCACCTTTTTTGGCATTTAAAGTTATGAGTTACTACAATTTTGAAGATAGATTATGATAAAATTGGGATTTTACTAGTGATGTAGCTATAATGTTCATTGAGAACATTTTGCAAAGTTTTTTTTTACTCACTGATAATATTTCTTGAGATGTGTAGCATTTCATGTTTGTAGGATTAATGTTTCGTTTGGACGAATTAGCTTAAAAGCTCCATTTCCTAAGTCCTCTTCAATGAGGTATGGCCCTTCTCAGTTTGGTCACAGCTTTCCTTCTCGGGAGTTTCTTTCTAAAACCTCTATTCTTTGTAGTACCCAATCTCCTTTGCATAGGTTTTTGGGTTTTATCCTGCGATTATAAGATTTTTTTGTTTTCCTATGATTGTTTGCTAATCATATTTGTGATAAGTCTATTATTTTTCTAGTAGATCCAGATTTGCTCTTCAGGCTTCCTCATTTTTGTGCTAATCATAGTGGCTTACCCTATATGTTGGAATTTTGGTTTCCACAAGAATCACAACTTCAGTTCCATGTTTTAAATTAAATGGAGTTTCATTGGTAGGTGTGCGATGTGTGGTTCTATAAGCCTATAGTGTGTATGGCAGTTCCTTTGTCCATGTACCTTTAGCCTTTCTTACTTTCTTCCTTAAGCTATCCAATATAGCTTTGTTCATAGCTTCTGCTTGTCCATTTGATTTGAGGTATGCTACTGAAGCAAACCCTTGTTTAATTTGTGTCTTACCCTCGTTTTCAAGCTGAGCTTTCATTATGAAGCGCCTTTCCAGGTTTTGTGCTTGGTAAAAGTTTTGAAAGCTTTGTTGGTGAATTGGGTCCCATTATCTGTGACCAGGATCCTTGATGTTCGAAATCTACATATAATATATATTTTCACAAACTCTTTGGTTTTTTTCTCTATTATTTTAGCCACAACTTATGCCTCCACCCACTTGGTGAAGTAATCTATTGCTACTATGAGGTATTTCTTCTTTTCTTTGGCTTTTGGGAAAGGTCCTAGTATGTCCATTCCTCATTGGACAAAGGGCCAGGGAGCTGTTATCATGTATAGAGGATTTGATGGTTGGTGTTGGATTCGTGCAAATCTCTAGCACTTATCACACCTTTTGACATATTCCTTTGCATCTTTTTTCATTATGGGCCAGAGGTATCCTTGGCACATGATTTTGAATGATAGCTTTCATCTGTCGTAGTGTGGCTGAAACATTCTCCTTCGTGTACTTCTTCCATTACCTTTATTGCTTTGCATGGTGTCAGACATTTGAGCAATGGTTGTGTGTATGATCTTCTATAAAGTTGATCATCAATGATTGTATACCACGAAACTTTTCACTTTAGTTTTGAGCTTCTTCCTTATCTTTAGTTAAACCTTCACTGGAAGGTACCTTTTAAAGATCTAGGTTATTTCTTTTTTGATATCCAGGATATCTTCTTCAAATATTGACGAGTAACATAATTCTTCAATGTATATTTCCTTTCCTACGTCTATGGTTCTTGCGTCGCTAGTCTTTCCAATACATTAGCTTTTGAGTTGTCAATTCTTTTTATATGATGAAGCTCATATCTTGTGAAAGATTTTAGAAACTGTGCAGTTTTTTTCTAAATATTTCACTATAGCTGCTTTTTGAGCATTAAAATTTCCCTTTGTTTGGTTTACCACTAATTGGGAATCACTAAATATTTCCACATATTCTACGTTCATAGCTTTTACTAATCTAAGTCCTCCTAGTAGAGCTTCGTACTCAGCTCTATTGTTGGATGCTTCAAATGTGAACCTTAATGCATATTCTAAGGTTACTCCTTCAAGTGATGTCAATATGATTCTTGTGCCACTACCATTTTCACTTAAAGATCTATCTACATGTAGTGTCCATAAGAGGTTTGGCGGCATTTCTTTTAATTACTCTTTTTCTGTTTGTAAATGCCGTTTAGCTGGGGGTGTTGGTAAATGTGTGCCCAACATAACTTTCACTTCCTTACTTAATTCTATGATGAAATCTGCCAAAACTTGTGCCTTCATAGGCTTTCATGGCTGAAATTCTACCTCAAACTCTATGAGCTCAATACTCCATTTTACAAACCTTTCTGCCAAATCTGAGTCTTTTGGCTTGTTAACACTAAAAAAAGGGATGAGCGAAACCGAGAGCTTTATTGAATAAGAGTTGAGAGAGTTTACAATGGTGAGAAAATTGAATGCCTTTTAACTCTTGCTTTCAGGTATTTATAGGATACTTGCATAAGTTATAATTCTACTTGGGTTGAATGGTTATAATTCTAGGGGAATTTAACCTATCTAACCCCGCTAGAACTCTATTGAGATGTTTCCATATGTCATACTTTTTATAGGACTTAATTTGGGTACAACATTTACCCCCCAACTAAGAAAGTTTGAGTGTGATGAAAACTTGCTTTTTTCCACTCTAACATAGGCTTTGTAATGGGCAACTCTCTCTTGTGAGGCTTTGTTGTGCTTGGTTGGTTCTAAATTCTATGCAGGTTTTCTAACTAAAGTATCTTTTATAAGGCCCCATCACTTTTGTGAGTGAAGGTCGGGTTTAAAACCTCTGTTGGCTTTCGATTCTTGATCTTGTGCTTTCGAAAATTCTAAGACGTTTGGTAGAGGTATTTTTTTTTTTACTGTGACTGCCTCGTTAAAAACCTTAGTTAGTAAAAACCCTGTGAGATAAAAATCTAACTTAAGGAAAAAAAATGCAGCACAGGTTTCTCTTCACATTCACAGCTTTTGATGTGCCTTATGTTGGTCTTCAATGAGCTACGCAGGTGCCATAAACTCTTTTGTTTGTTTTTCTAAAATTTCACTATAGTGTAGTCACTTCTTCTTATAGTCATTTACATGTGTCAATCCCTTATTTAAGATTTTGTATTAACTCTTGTCTTCGTGGGATTATGTGGGATTTCAGCATTTAATGCTGATTTTTGAAGTGTATATTTTGATAAGGGATTTTTTGTGATAAGGTTCCGTTCCTCACTTCTCGAATCTTATACTCCGTTTTATTAATTTCTTCTGATCCCTTCATCTTTTTTCTTACTTGCCTCTGTCTTAGTTTAACCCTTTCTTCTTCGTTCTTCATTATTGTCTCCTTTTTCTTTCCTCATTTCCCACATCTTTTACCTCTTTCTTTTATTGATTTTCTTTTAATCCGTTCACCTTCTTATTTTTTACTTTATGTTTTTCGTTTTTCCCCTTTTCTTTCATCTTAATTTCTAATGGGTGGGGGCTTCTTAGATTTTGCCATTGTTGCTTCAGTTGGTAGAGCCATTACCACGATGGAAGCAAACGTTGCTGCTGGTAGTAATTTTGATATTCTTTCTACTGGATCTCTTGTCTGTCCTCCTTCCACTGTTGTCGGACCCTTTGACTCCTCTATCCACTTAAATAGGTGTTTCTTCCTCCAAGTTTATTATTTTGATATCTTCCATTTCCCTCGCATTGGTGATGAAAGGTTTTTGGTGATGGGGGCTTCTTGGCATGTGGAGAGGGACCTCGTGATTCCTCTTTTTCTGACTAAGGTTCCCATTATTTTTCCCTCTCTTTCAAAAGAAGAGAAGGTTGGTTTTGAATTGGGTTTGGCGAAGGTTTTTAGTAGCAAAGATAAGGTTTCTTGGGTTACCAGTAATCGTGATGTTAATGAGATATGGGAGATTTATCACAGGAACCTGATAGACCTGCATGTTTTTGCCCCGTAGCATCCTCTAGGTCACACAGCTTACCAATGCCTTCCATCTAACATGTGTGTTTGTAAGGACCAGTTTGTTTGTGGTTTGTGTTTTCCTCTGCATCCCTTTATTACTAAGATCTATGATGAGTTTTCCATTAGCTTGTGTCAATTGGCTTCTTGGACTGTTGCCTATATTGTTGCTTTTATTGTGTAGTGTTATTTGCTTAAAATTACTCCTACTTGGGAATTGTTTTGTTTCTTTTTTCATCTGAAGATTGCCTAGCCTATCGGTAGTTGGTACTACTTTTCTCGTAGAGTGTTGGAGTTCCAAGGTGTTGATGATAAGAAGCGTCGTCATGGTAACGTTGTTTTGATTGACCCTTTGCCTAGTTTTGATTCTAACAATTGGCATATGAGGTTTTTCTTTCTAAGCACTCCAAAGGATGTTGATTTTCTTGCAATTTGGAGGTTTTTGTGGACCACTATTGCTAAAGTTCTTCTTTCTGTTGATGATTATAAGGCTATTAACAATTTGTTACGAAGCCTTCTATGAGCTTTGCAAAATTGATTACCCAAAGAAACTTGATTGATTTTGGTGTTTGGGTTCTCGGCTCTTGTAATTCTGATTTTTTGGTTCCCTTGGTTCCCCTTGGTTTCTAAGCTTCTACGAAACCTAAGTATCCTTTGGAAAGGAAGGTTGGAGAAGGAAGCTTTACTACTGTTTTCGAGCCTTTTCTTATTATTGCAGGTGTCTTCATCTTCCCTCTTTATTTCTTGCTAGTTTTTGCTTGTTTGTTCTTGCCATTCATGTCTTTTGTTGGCATAGGTGGCATGGATACCTTAGTCACTTTAAGTCAATTTGCTAAGGTTGAGAAGATTTCGAAAGAAACTAAAGGAGTTGCTTCTTGAAAGGTGTTGTACCTATGATTTTGATGATTTCAAAATAGATTTGAGTGACAAATTGGTTTATTTAAGTGTGTAGTTAAGTTGCTAAAATATTGCAAGTAAACTTGTATTGCACCAAAAATAGACCAAAAGGATTGAAAATGTGCAGAGAGCTGGCTCTTAAAGGCTGCAATTGGTTCTGGTGAAATGGAAGTGTAGAAAGCCGGCTCTGGAAGTTGCAGCTGGCTTTATGGGCAAAATTTTGAAGACCGTTTTTTGGCGCGCGCGTAGAAAAGACGCAAAGCAGGCTCCAACTTTGTAGCCGATTGTGAAGGTGAATTTAATGCACAACGATCGAGTTATTTGAAGATTATTTAATGTGTTTAAAGTTGGAATCTCGAAGCCGGCTCTAGGCTTTGCAGCTGGCTGTGGAAGAAAACAGAATGTGTAGCAAACCCGCAAAGCCGGCTTTGCGTTTTGCAGTTGGCTCTACGGATAAAACAAAATGTGCAGAATCCCGCAAAGTCGGCTGCAGAAATGGTGAGAAGGTTGTGCAGAGCCGGCTCTAGGAAGCTAAGCCGACTTTCCTGACAATCCTACAACTTGAGCTTTGCGTCCTGTAGAGCATTTAATGACCCCTAATGGCTAGAAACAGCTATTTTCTAGCAAAGGGATGTAAATATGGTTGGTAATAGATCTGAAGAAGTTTAGAGAGCATTGTATTGAATATCTTTACCTACCTACATGAGCTTTAACTTGAGTTTTTGATCTTTGAGAGATCTTTACTTGTAATCCTCTTCTTGTTCTATTTGTGAGTGATCTTGGGGGTGTGATTAATCCTTCAAGAGTGATTTGTAGAGAGGATTCTTGGGGTTTAAGTGTCAAGGGGTGAGATTTGAGAGAAACACCCTTCTTCTTGTAAAAGGATTGAGTGACTCCTTTAAGCCACCCTTGTTGTTATTAGTGGAGAGTGTGGAGGAAATCCTTGGTGAGTGAAGCCAAGGTAGAGGACTCGGTTCCAAGTGGTTGGACCGAACCTCTATAAAATCATTGAACAAGCTTTTTTTCTCTACTCTCTTTATTTTTGGTTTTGTGGTTGCAAAAAGGGGAGAATTTTTGGAACTCTAATTCACCCCCCCTCTTGGAGTACATTGAGTCAACAAAAGGCGCTTGTGTCTGTGAGAAGGTGAAAGAGACTAAAGAGCTTTCCCTTTGTTAAAGCTGTTGTTGTCGATAGCTTTTTTAATGATAAAGTGGGGAAGAGTGTGATGAATGCTAGCAAGGAAACACCCTATCCTGTTCTTCCAGATGATGAGTTGCAAAGCTTTTCTTCTAAAGCTTTTCTTCTAAAGTTTTTCTTCTAAGGAAAAAGCTTTACTTTCATCCATAACGTATTTTATCACTAGAAAAAGTTTTTCTAAGTCCTTGCCCCGATCGCCTTTGAAGGATGTAGTTCATCTTGGTATAATGCTACCTTTTTTGTTTTTCTTTTTAATTCCTCTTATTTTTCTTATTTAAGCGCATCTTCTTCTTCCTTTTAAGGATATGATGATTGTGTTGACAGTCCCTCTGTTATTGGGCACAATTCAATTGCTCGTGAATTTGCTAAGTCCCTATGTCTTGATGGTGACAAGAAATTGCTTTCTAATTTTCCTTTGAAGGCTTTGCATAATATGGACGTTCACAATGCAACTAGCATATAAGTTTCTTCTCCTTTGCTTTTATTTTTTAATATTGGCTTTTTTTTTCCCTTAACATCTTCTTGTGTTCCTCTCTTTAGGTTTGTACCCTTTTGCAGTATATGAAGCGCATTGTCTTGAAGAAGGAGGATTTGTCTCATTGTGTTGAAGTTGATCTTGCTGAAATACGATCGAAGAGGAACGAGTTGATAAACCTGTGTTGCAGACTTAACTTTGAAAGGATTAGTGCTAACAAGAAAATAGCTTTGAAGTCCAATTTGATTGAAGTTGAAAGATTGAAAAAAGAGTTGTCTATGCTCCAAGAATGCAACAATTTGTTAAAGAAGGAGAAAGAGCTTATCTTTTCTTCAGCTTTTATTGAGAAGGTGCCTCTTTCATCCTCCAACACCACCCTCTTGTAGCAATTGAAGGAGCAAACTTTAAGAAATTCTATTTTAGAAAGTTCTATTTCTGAATTGCAGGCGTAGGTTTCTTCTTTGCAGGCTTCCGCTTCTTCTTCTATCCAAGCTTTCAAAGAATCCTTTGAGGGTAGGGCCTTTACCGTTTTTGGTGGTCTCAGCTATACTAACCTCACCATTAAGTTGGTTAAGGAGTTGCTTCCTCGTCAAGGGAAAGTCGTACCTGAACGTCCTGTTGAATTTGAGAATATGGACTTTGCTACCATGGTTTGTGTTGATCCCGAGTTGAAAAGGATTTATGATCAAGGCCCAAAACATGTCCCTCTTGGTGTTTCCCTTTCTTGAGCAAAGGAAGGGTCTAGTAGTTCCTAGGATACTGAGGATTCTACTGGTGCTATCCACAACGGGAGCACTTTTGCTAACATGACGGGTGCTTCCCCTCCCTCGGGTGATTAAGGTTATAGATAGGATTTCATAGTATACATATAGGTCATGCTACTTTGTTTTTTCCTTTTGGACTTTTTGTTTAATGCTTAGGATTATTTCTTGGCATTCCTCAAGTCTTTGTGCACTTGTTTGGTGAACAACTATTTTATTTTTCTTTTTGAACTCGAGTTTTGGCCATGTGGACATTATGGCTTTTCACTGAAACCTATCCTTTTGTGAATGCAAATTTTATTATTTTCACAAGTTATTATGGTTTCTTAGGGTGAAGATATCCTCATTCATCAATGAGGATTTATAATTTAACAATTAGTTAGTATGTGCCGTGTCTTATTTTTGTAAAAAATGACACAACTTTTACATTATAATCGGTTATTGCAAGTTTTTGTTGCAAAGTCCCTTCTACATTCGAGGTTTGCATTAATGTTCGCAGCCTTTGCTCGTGCAGCTTTTACCTAGGTACTTACACGCACCCTAACTTGCTTACGATCTTTTTGTTTTGCTTAAGCTTATTTAGCTAGTTTTGCACAAAGTTCTAACCCTTTCTTCTTTTTCTTTTCTTTTCTTTTTTCTTTATTTTCTTTCTTTCTTCTTTTCTTTTCTTTTCTTTTCTTTTCTTTTCTTTTCTTTTTTTGATATTTTATTCATATGATAGCCATGATGCTCATTTAGAACATCTTTCATATTTCCTGTGGTGCTTATTGTAGCTTTTTCTTATTTCCTTACTAATAATATTTCTTAAGATGAATAGCATTCCAGGTTTGTGGAATTAAAGTTCCATTAGGGCGAATTAACCAGAAAACTTCATTTCCTAAGTCTTCCTTGATGAGATATGACCTTTCCCAATTTGGGCGCAGCTTCCCCTCTTGGGACTTTCTCTTTGAAACCTCTGCTTTTCTCAGTACCCAATCTCCTTGATGTAGATTCTTGGGTTTTACCTTGCTATTGTAGTATTTTGCTGCTCTTCTATGATAATCTACCATTTGTATTTGTGATAAATCTCTAATTTCTTCTAGTAAATCCAAATTTGCTCTTAGAGCTCCATCATTTGCATAGTCATCATAGTATTTTGTTCTGCTTTGTGAGTTGGAATTTTGGTTTCTACTGGGATCACAACTTTTGCTCCATATGTTAAATTGAAAGGGGTTTCTCCTATTGGCATTTGGTGGGTTGTCCTGTATGCCCATAATGTGTATGTTAATTCTTTTGTCCATGCTCCTTTTGCCTTTCCAACTTTCTCTAAATAGATTTGATGGATGATTGTTTCATTTTTTTTAAGAGTTTGTATGTAGAGAAAAACTTTAGTGATATATGCATTGATTATATATCCTTTAATACAACCATCCATTAATTGTGTAATACTTGTACCATTATCCTCGTATAGTAAGGCCACATTCTTATTGCACATGCTAAATCTAAGATCTAGTCCACAAGTATTCTTAAGTAGCACAAATGTTCTTGGATTTTTTGTGAATGGGGCTACCATGGTAATACTAATATAAGTGGATAACTATTATATTTGTAATCATACTTTTTGTGGATATGTTAAATATCCAAATTTTGCATATCCAATTAATTTGGGTTTTGAGTGCTTAGGTATAAATATAACAATTGTCCCTTGAAGGTAAGAAATATATATATATATATATATATGTATATATAAGTTCATTCTAGTAACTTCAAGTCAATGTATAAAAAAATCTTGCGAATAAATTTTTAAGAAAAAAACTATATCATAGAATATAAATAAATCAGCAAGATATTTTAATTTTTAATGCATCAATTGCAATCAAATATGATACTATATGAACAAAAATCATCTTGTCATGGATAAAAAGTGTCATCCTCATCATTGGTCAGCTCAAAGTATGAGCTCTTTCCATGTTGAAGCGCTCAAAAATCTTTAATTTATAGTTTAATTAATGACAAAAATCAAATTTGATAAGTGTTTATGCCATAACCCAATTTTTTCCCGTTATTTTCTTTACAAAATTCTTGAAAAACAAGAAAAATAAATAAATTTGGTTGGAAAAATGGAAATATTAATAAGTGGTCGTAAAATATTCCTCCTTAAATCTCTCATAGATTATGGTAATTTATCCTACCATAATTTTGGTAGGTGGTGACTCATTTTTAAGTTCTCAAAACTTAATTTTTAAATTTTATTTTTGAATTTCGAATGTTCATTAACACTAGATCAACAAGTTGAGTCAAAATATTATTATTTTAAGAATTTTCATCTCATAACCACTCTTTAGAAGATGCAATTTTATATCCAAACTCTTCGAGAGTTTTAATGATATTTAAATCATTAACATGTTATGCAACAATAGCAAATTTCAATTTTAATCTCTAAATAAAAATATATCGAGAGTTTTAATGATATTTAAATCATTAACATGTTATGCAACAATAGCAAATTTCAATTTTAATCTCTAAATAAAAATATATTGAGAGTTTTAATGATATTTAAATCATTAACATGTTATGCAACAATAGCAAATTTCAATTTTAATCTCTAAATAAAAATATATAAAGTAATGTATTTTTCTAATTCTTCTTTTTGAATGTATTCATTACAATAATTGTACCACATTTTTTCTTTTACATTAATTGATACAAATTATTGCTCTTAGTTTGTGCTATATGTTTAGGCTTTTAAAGCTTTATTTTAGGCTTCAAGCATAGCATGCTTTATGCATATTAAGCCCTTCTTACGTTCTACAAGAACTTTTATATAAATATAATTATTGGATAATTATACATACACCCAAACAATCAACACCCATTTCAACACCCAAGGCTAAAATGAGGAGGGGTAAATTTATAATTTTACTGTTCATAAGCCTTGGGTGTTGAGATGGGTGATGATTGTTTAGGTGTATGTATAATTGTCCATAATTATTATGTCTTCAGATGTCGTAATATCTATAAAATGTATTTGAAGTCCCTAGAGACTTCTAAATGAATATGATAATAATAAAATTACCAAAGAGAATATCTTTTCAAAATAATTTCAAAATTTTTACATAAATCTTTGTACTAGCTTCCTTTTGGATTCATTATATTTTCTCATAGATATTACAGCCTCCTAACTTGATATTATTATATAGTTAGACTATCGATCTAAAAACTTCACATAATTCCCATGATTTTAACTCTACTTAGATCATCTCTTTTTATATTGGCCAATAATTCTTTGTAGACATTTTTCAATAGATTTTAGTCTAAAATCTTTTTTTTTTTTGGTTGATTATATCATTCGTTATTGCATATTAAAATTTCTTATTAATAATAATTTCATTTTGGTTCTACACTTTTTTTCAAGAGATCCATAATTTATAAAAATCTCATTATTATTTTTAGGTACCTAAATCTTTTATAGGGTAATTTTTCAAAAATTCTTCAAGATTATTTACGATTTCAGTGGTACTAACATTCTATTTATGCTTTTCCTTTATTCTTGGATTTTTATTTTTAGAACTAATTGTTCTAAAACGCTTCTAGATGTACACAATAGACTCATTTACTAATACTTTAACTACTTTTCTAATAGAAAATCCCAATACAGGTAAGAGTGTTTAAAACATAAATATGTGATATACTTAGTTCCATTGCATCAATGGATGCATCCAGCAATTGATTGAAAAAATTTTAACCTTTTGATTCATATCAACTTGTTTGAGGATTTTAGTGATGTATCTCAAGTTATCTCTTGTTTTTCTAATATGTATTCCTCTCCCTTTACGTTAGGAACATAATTTTTTTAAATTGACAATCAACAAATTTCATTGTTAAAAAATCAACAGCCAATCATTGAAGATATCTAATAATATATGTAGATTCAAAATCAATATAATTTTTCATCATTCTTTGGGATTTAGCATCACTACTAAAAAATAGAGGAAAATTGACAAACTTATAGTCGACAGTCAATTTTCTATTATTATAAAGATATAATTGACAACTTTTTGTCAATTATACTTATTTTGTCAGTTATGTTTCATTTTTTACTTATTATTGACAATCAATATAATCGATAGAAAAGTTGTCAATTATATTTTTATAATTGACAAAAAATTAGCTGTCAATTAAATGTAATTGACAGCTTTTGGTTGTTGATTATATATTAACTATAATTGATAGAATTGGTTATCGATTATATTGTTAAATGAAGTTATTTACGATTAATAGTTCCAATGAATGGGTATAACCGACACCAAGGTTGTCGATTTTGTTTATAAATATAACCAACAGCCTTGGCTATTGATTTCACTCGTTCATTAATCCCCCCTTTTCCTTTTCTCCCCATTTCTTCTTCTCCTTTCCTAATAGATCTAGTGTTTTCTCTGGCGATCTGCATGCCCTATTTCCCATTGTTGTTCACGGTTACTTGAGCAGCTTATCTGCGCACATTCTAGTTTTCAAATCTCTGTGCCTGTGATGGTAGATTTACCCCACTCTCCTATTTCTAGGATTTTTTTTTTTTTTTTTTTGGGTTCCCTTGGATTTATGGTAGTCATTCCTATTTCTTCTTGTAGATATAAGCTCTATATCCAACCTCCACTGCTTCCATGCCACCACACTATCTAGAAGAAGTAACCCACCCATTACCATTAACTTGCCTGCAAATTGGGATTTGAATTTACAAGACCTCATTTTTCTTTTTCGCAGATCCAAAATCTAGCCTTCATCACCTCTACCTCACCATCCTGCTTAGAGACTGCTGTTGCATCACCTTTCCTCGACCCTTAGACGGTCAATTTCTTCACCAAGAATTTGGAGAATTTTCTCATGATTTTTGGAATTACAGTAACTTATCCTTTGTGAAGAAATTGACACAACATTAACAAAGGATAAGTTACTGTAATTTCAAAGAAATATGTACTGTAATTCACAAACGATATGTACATATTTTAGATCTAAACCCAACTAACACAGCCTTATCGTACCCACTACTAAAGGTAATTGGAGTTTTTTCTATATATAAAGTTATTTCTTCCAATTTTTTTGAGATTTAAGTATGTATGCTAATTGAAGTGTTATTTTTATTAAATTTGTATATATAAAGTTTAGGGATTTTGGATTATTGCATTTGAAATTGAGGTTGAAATTCGTATGTCTATTGAACTAGAATGATATTTATATTGCATTTATATATATAAAGTTATTTATTTCAAATTATTGATTTTGGGATTGAGTTTGAGATTGAGATATATATGCTAATTGAAATGTGATTTTTATTAAATTTGTATATATAAAGTTTGAGATTTTGTAGTATTGTGTTGGAGATTGAGGTTGAGATGCATACAGGTATTGAACTAGAGTGATATTTATATTGAATTTTTTTTATATAAAGCTATTTATATCTAGTTATTGATTTTGGGATTGGGTTTGAGTTTGAGTTTGAGTTTGAGATTAAGATTAGGATTGAGATTGGGATTGGGATTGAAATATATATATATATATGTTAATTGAAGTTTTATTTTTATTAAATTTGTTTATATAAAGTTAGGGATTTCGAAATATTATGTTTGAGATTGAGGTTGAAATTGATACTAAGACTGAGGTTGAGAGGCATTTAGCTTTTAGCATTTAGCTTTTTAATGTCACAAAATTACTTTATGCAAAATGTTTAATTGTTTTTTTGCTTTCACTATAAGGAAATAGGTTTTTTGTCACGGTAAAATAAGTTACAAAAATTTATGTTTTTGGTCACAAATTACATTTATGTTTAAAATTTGGTTGATCACTGTCTCTTGTAAATACTGAGTCACTAAAGCTAATAGTAACTAATTTTGTAGTCATGACAAAAAATCATAGTTTTAATAACAGGAAATATAACAATTACATGTGTCATATTTAAATTATTTGTGACAAAATAATTGGACACAAATAGTGTTTCTTTTGTAACATCTATGTTCCGTCACACAAAAAAAAAAAAATTTAATGTGATTGAAAAAATCATCACAAATTTATTTGTGATAGAAATTTTAAATCACTAATAATTTTATTCTAATTAAAAATATTCCCTAAAAATAAAATTTAAAAATTTTTCAATATAATTTTTAATATAAAAATAATAATAATAATTTTAAAATAGATAATTAATTCAAATAATTTTAAATAATTATTATTATTACAATAATAAAATGTTCAAAGGCCAATAATAAAATTATTTAGCTCAAGTCCAACATTTCAAGACTTTAAAAATTTGACTAACATATTTTAAATCTTTCTTTATATAAAGTATTTGTAGACTATACCTTTTGTTTTTAAATGATGTGGAATTTAGGTATTTTCTTATATAGAGTGTTGATAAACTTTACTAGTTATTTTTAGGTGATATGGGATTTTTTTATTCTACAATTTCACTCATATACCAATAGAAAAATAAAATATCTATCAAATAAAAACAACAAAGAACTCATTCAAGAAAAAATAAAAAATAATATATTATAAATTTATATCAAAATTATTGTTATAAATTTATTTTAAACAATATAAGCTAAATTTTATTAACATTTGGAGTATAAGAGGTACTCCTAAACTCTATCGATCATATCACTTCCGAATATATATGTATAACACACAATTATTCCTAATTAACTACAATGACCTTATATAAGCAAGTCATTCCACTTCCTAGTTCACACCCTCCTCTCACTCTTTTATTTGAGGTTAACCCCAACTGTTGGCAAAAAACTTCCTGACAACTAACAAACATAAACCTCACCACTTCAAACACTTTCTCTATGAGGGATAGGTGACTTGATAGTAGGAACAAATGATGGACATTTTGAATCCAGTCATCACACGTTTTACATTTTGTCAAGCTGTAATTCTGCAAAACCCCCTTCTTGAATTAATTATGGTCATTAATTAAATGCAATTTCACTCATAAAGTTATTGGTGCTTGTGAAAGTATGGTGTCCCCATATATAATTTTGTACATGTAAGGTATTCCTAGTGCAAGTATGTTGTATGCTTTTACCTCTATTTATATGCAGGAGTGAGGTAACTTTTTGTAGGGTTAATAATAGTATAGGGATCCAATATTAATGTAATTCTATTTGTAAAGGTAGAAGTATCCTTTATTCTCTTATAATAAAATTCACTGTTCAAAGAAATTAATAAAAACAACCCCATAGGAATGTGTATTTCTTTGGATTTGGTGTACAAAATAATTAAATGCTTCATGAATAGATAATTAAATGTATAATATTTTAGCTTATATTAATCAATATATAATATTAATTAAAAAAATTACACATTTTTATGGTAATAAAATGTTGATTTTAAAGAAATAGCACAACTGTCACGCCCCAGAACCCAAATCCGAGGCGCGATAGACGCCGTACACTCGTGAGATGGGTCCCACGAATGCACAAGGCTCGGAACTTATCCAAATCACAAAATCTCATGAATAAAATCAACCTTACAAAAGGATGATAGAATCTAAAACTTATACCCCAATTGAATGGTTAGCCTTCTAACTCGTCACTCCCCTCGATTTCCCCG